GCCAGGCTCAGTGAAGGAGACAGTGCAGTCAGACACGGGTGAAACCTTGGAGTGTCCTGCAGTGACAGAGCTGGAGAGAGAAAAAGAGTACAAAACTGAATAACTTGGTATCTAGTGGCATTGACAATATTTAAAAAGTGGGCAATAATTCAATAAAATGTGTGGTAAAAGACTAGGTGGAGAAGACATCCCCCACCTATATAGATCTTGCCAAAGATCCTTTACCCAGCAGACAATCTAAACTGCACAGAAAAATACAGTTTTATTCTTAGAATTGCATACAGCATGTTCTTATTATTTCATATGATTATGCATATTGATATGACTGTCAGCAGCAAGGTCAGTGACTTGCAAGTGAAAGCACAGTGGTCGCCAAACAGAAAAACTTGTATCAAAAGATCAGTTCTGGTATAGATCATGATGAGGAGCTTAAACACTGAAAAAAAAATGTCAGTAATTCAGTTCTGATTTGTAATACAGTGCAACAGTACAGGGGATATAGTAGTTTTCTCCTCTATGAATGCATTTTTTGTTAGTCTTTTAAACACTGCAACAATGATGCGGGAAAAAATGTTTTTTGGGTCAATAGCTTTTAAATGACCAAGGGCCCATGACCCTGCTGTTGCAACAGTAAATTTGAGTTCAATCTGGTTTCATGCAAGGTTGGCAGGAGACTACTGTGTATGCCTTGCAGCATATATACCTGAAACTTTATAGTTTTAACTATGCAAAGATTGATTGTTTGCTACAGAAGCAAATATAGCAGCTCGGCTTTCATTAACAAAGGACAGTGAGGTTATTGTAAATTTTTTTTAAATTTAGTTACCAGTGTTACTATTCAGGATTTTTTTTTTTTTTTTTTTTAACAAAGACGAAATCCTTGTAGGGTTCAGTAATCAATCAAAACTGTTAACAAAAATTGAATCCTTAAAACAAATCTGTTCTGGACTGAGCAAGAAATTAATATTCTAATGCATAAAAAGCATGCTTAAAAAAAACTCTTACACGTATTGCATTCGACTGCTTCCACTTGTAGTGTTGCCTTTAGTGTCCAGTTAAGCGTGGCTCAGTCTCTTCTTTAACAAATGCCTCCAGGCCCACAAATTACTGATTCCCACACTTTGTTACCTGGCATTTCATGCATCTGAGGTTCTGCTGCCTCCTCCTTTTTGACTTGTTTATGGTCACCATCATTCCAGCTCAGGCTCTCTCGTTCATTTTTCAACTTTTCTCCACTTTGTGCAGTGCAGTTTTTAGGGTGTCCTCGTCCTCTTTTTGCTGACATGCTCATGTTGGTAATATAGGTGTGTCCCTAACTGGGATATAAGGTATTGTTTTTGTGTTTTTGTGGTGCAATTCATTTTGTTTTTCAGGAGAATTTCTTCTCAGTCCATAACAATTTGTTTTTAGTGTGTCCTCGTCTTCTTTTTGCAAGCTTCATGATGTTTTTAACAAAAAAGCAGGGTCCTTCATTGGAGTGTAAATTATGGGTCCCCCACATCCCCTTTTAGTGCAATTCCTTTTGTTTGTTCAGGGGATATTCTTCTACAGTTTGCAAAGCATTCTTTTCAAGGTGTCCTTGTTTGTTGATGGTAGTTTGACTTGTTGGACAGTCAATTACAGTTTGTACAGTTTGGTTGCGGTGGCTGACCTGGTGACTTGGGAAAGCAGATTAATCCGCTGGCCAAAGATAGTTCAGTCTTTTTACAGCGAACTGATTCCGTTTTGAATGACAGGATCCTTATCTCACCTATAACAGGGGTTTTCTCCTTGGTGTGTGTAGTCCTATGAGGACGCTGAAGCTCCATCTCTGCAGACTGAGTCATACCTGCTGTCTTCCTCTTCAGTGTAGAGGATATTATCTGTAGTCAGGGAAGCCAGAAGTGAGTGCAAGCTCACCAAAAAACTTGCTACTATACAAAAAGGAAATTGAGGCAATTTTTATTTACTGGCTATTATGTGACATTTGATTTAAAATGTCAATTAAGCAATGACATTGACTTCATATTATCCGTCAGTGTAATGTCATAAGTAAATATATACATTACTAACAGTTTTTTATGACTACTTTGCACAAACACATTAAGCTGTTGAAACAAATTTCAACCAAATGTTTTTCAAGAATAAAAATCACAGTCTCTTAAAGAGAACTGCTGTGTCTTCGGAAGCGGTGACTTAATAGCCATTTCCTCCTTCTTGTAGAAATAACCTGAATGCCACTAGAGGTCTCTGAATATGAGGTTTTCTCTTTATCTTGCTGTATTGTACAGTTACTATGGCTGGGAGCATTTTAATGTTTTACAAGATAATATGTTTCATCATGCATGCAGTTATGAAAGCCATTCTGACATAGGTGTGAACTAAATACATTACTATGCCATTAAAATGTGTCACATCCCCTCAATTAATTTTAAATAGAGAGAGAAGGTTATTGATTATATGACAAACTGAAGAGGCCAATTCACAATAAACATGTGATGCATGTCTGGGACATACAAAGAGAATCTTAGACTTGCTTGTCAATATACCTTGTGAATTATATGTATGTATAGATATTTTTCCTGTTGATCTGTGAGAGCAGTTTTAAGTAGGCTGATTGAGAAGGCAGAATTTTGTGAGAGTGAAGATCAATGATAAGCTCACTCCCCTTACAGGATAGGCTGTCTATACTGTTCTTCAAGTTAAATTTAAGACTTTTAAGAGCTTATTAATGCCACATAGAATGTAATTTATTGAAGTAAGGTTTTTGTTCAAATCAACATTTGCCAATTATAAGATGATGAGCAACTGTAGCTACAGCAGTAATAGCTACAGTGCACAGCAGTGTTTGCTACAGGTCTCATTTGTAGTTTATAACTCCAGACAGCCCACAATCAAATACAAAAACTGTTTTTATAACTAAAATAAATATATATTTAATATATATATACATAAATATATATATATATATATACTTAAATAGTACTTATATATAGATTTTTCTGAATTCAATTGCAGACTTATTATTACCTTCAAATACTTTTTTGACAAACTAAATTGAATGCTTTTAAAATATTTTTAAGACCTACAGACAGCCCACCACAGTCTATTGAGAAACCTCTTATTTATTGTAAAATAATGTATTGTTTCATATCAGGATACAACAAAACTTTTTTTGCCAAATAATATGGGTGATCTTAGAATGGGGTATGTTAGGCGGGGTTTAAACTGACTCCATACAGTGCTTTCAGTATGCCTACAGTTTTGGCGTGATTCCATGAAACTTGCATAAAATTTCAAATCGCCATCATTCTCCATCCTTAAATGCTCGCTAATTTTGCCGAAATGCTAACGGCTAATGACGCCGCACTAAACTAGCTTGTGTTTGTTGTTAGCTAGGTTAGAACTGGCCCAGTTTGTGCCTCTATTAGCATTCATTCTTGTTACAAAAGTACCTACAAGGTTGTTTAATACTCACCACTCTTTTCACGGTATTTTCAGAATCCTCAACGACTCTTCTAACCATCTGAATGGAAAAAATATTGTGTTGCCTGCACGAAGATTTTTTTAACCTGTTCCCCAAGGTGTATACTACTTCCTATCCATGGCCTGTGGGCAGCCATCTTTGTTTTGATTCTGAACCAGTGGCGCAACTTGGGAAACAGGTTAAATAGCTTTTTTTTTTTTTTTTTTATCATTTACAGAGATAATATTTTTTGAGTGTTGCAATGTTGCATGGTGTTGGGGTATTTTTGAAATACTCTCAGAACAAGGTTTAAGTGTTTTTATTTATATGGTCCAGCCCGCGCACGTCCACCAGGTTACAAATATTTCAATGTCTCTGAATCCAAAACTCATTTAAAGATTCAAAAAACCTCAGAACTTTACGAATTAATGTGCCTCTAGCAAGTTGCATAGGCTGCTCTTCCTGCTAAAATCAAGATAGATGTTTTATTATATCCGCTTGCCCCTAGCGGGCGGAGCTTCAACATTGAACGCAAGGTAAAAGAAAGTGTGATCCGCCCCGCCGGGACACTCAGTGTCTTGGATCAACCGCAATGTAAACAAACGGGGAGTGCAAACTTTCACAACCTTATCTTTGGGTCCCACAGTTTTCACGACCCCAGCAAAACGTTGTGATTTAGGGGATGTCATATACGTGTTGTTTCTAAGAATATGGAGGGTGCTCCCTATAAAACTGCATTAACGATTTACGGTCTGTTAAAAGCAGCGGTGGAAGCAGTACTCAGATCTTCTGTAAAAGTAGCAATACTACAGTGTTTACTGTTACAAGCACAAGTCATGCATTCAAAACGTTACTAAAGTAGCACCAATCTAAGTGTACCAAAAGTGAAAGTATTCATTACACAATAATATAATAACTGGTATTTCGTATTAATACTTCTTCCTTCATCACTTCATCTGTAAAGTAACTAGTAACATTTCATCCACCGATTAAAAGCCATCAAACAAATATTGATCATCTCCTGATCCCAGAGTTGCCATACAATTACGGTTGCAAGAAACTGCTCACTATAGTTTAGACAGTGAAACAATTAAAGAATAAGCTAAGCTAATTTCATAGCTGCAAGACCAACTAGTTTTTCTAAGAAAAGGAAAAATGTTTACTGTAAAGGGGAAAAAATAACAATCTATAATTTTAAACTGATTCATGGAGCAGAAATTGACTAAATAAATCCCCAATTACTCTTTTTTTTTTTACCTGAGCCCCCATTCCAAAGTTATCCAGCTAAGAGCTTGTTTCAAAGACAGGCCTATCTTTGAAACAAAAAAGCTATTTAATATGTCAGTAATCTTTTGAATCTATTATTATTAGCATTTTTATTCAAGCAAATTCTCCTGTTTTCAGTTTCTGGTGATATACGGTCATCCTTGCTATGGGCCTTCAACACTGGTGCACAGATACTTCAAATAATTTGGCGACTCCCAGTGACTCAACACAGTAGCATTACACACAGTGTCCATGCATTCATCAAATAATTTATTAATTTTTTACAGATAATACAGCATTGATCAGTGGCAAAAAACATCCCATTATCTGCATGTCATATAGAACTCTGCCTTATATCATGTCCTCAAGCATCTGTTATGATAGTGTCTTAAACAGCCAGTCTAGAGCTACTCTGGAAAAAAAAATCATACAGGACTTGGGATAGTTCTGTAAAAGTTCCATGCAATAACAAACTGTGTGATAATAAGTTAAAACAGTCATCTGAGTCAAGAGGGTTACAGAAAGTTCATATAAATAATTATTTACAAATATGAGTTTTCTTGTCAACACATTCATAAAAAAAAATCTAGTAGTACACTGTATACAGCTTCTATAATTACCATATTAGATCAAGACTAGCTTATTTACAATCCTCTCAAAAGAGCTCAGCGACATTTCGCCACGTGACCAGAAAGATGGTGAGAGCGAGCAAACCTGCGGAGACAGTTGGGGCAGGAATATGGCTTCTCCCCTGTGTGAGTTAACATGTGAGTTTTCAAATGGCCTGACAAGCGAAAACTTTTTCCACATTCTTGACATGTGTAGGGACGCAGGTTAGTGTGACTCCTCCTGTGTTTGCCAAGATCGCCAGAAGAAGTGTAACATCGGTGGCAGTCTGGACATTCAAAGGGCTTTTCCCCAGAGTGTATGCGCTTATGCTTCACCAGGTCACCAGATTGAGTGAAACTCTTGTCGCATTCAGTGCATTTGTAGGGTCTTTCACCAGTGTGGGTGCGTTGGTGGTTTCGCAAATGTGCAAGGCGAATGAACCTATTTCCACAGACTGTGCAGTGGTAAGGTCTTTCTCCTGTGTGTGTTCGCAGGTGTATTTTCAAAGCCCCGAGATCTCCGATCTTCAGCCCACAGTCCCCACACTGGTGAGCTTTCTCATTGGTGTGGAGTTTGGTGTGAACCCTCAGATTTCTCTGGGTGTTAAAGTTCTTCCCACACACATTGCAGTGGAAGGGTCTCTCACTAGAATGTGTCCTCAGGTGCAGATCAAGGCTCGACTTGAATCCAAACTCCTTTCCACATTCGGAGCAAGAATATTCCTTCTTGCCAGAGTGTGTCGTTAAGTGGCACTTGAGGTGATGTGATCTTAAAAAGGCTTTCCCGCACACCTGGCATTTGTACGGCTTCTCCCCTGTGTGTATTTTCATGTGTTGCCGCCAACCACTGCGCTCCACGAACCTCCTGCCACAATCTTTGCAGACAAACGGCCGGTCACCTGTGTGTGTGCGCATGTGATCCTCCAAGCTTTGAGGAGTGCGCACCTTCTTGCCACATTCTGGACACTGCACACCAGTGTCCAGACAGATTGGTTTATCCTCAGGTTCTGTGTTATCTGGTTCATGACACAAATGTGGCCCTTGACCCCAGGTAGCTTTGAAACTCTTCCCACAGTCAGCACAGCTGAGATGCCCTCCTGTGGTAACCACAGACATGTTGTGCCAGCGCTGACAGTGATTCTTAAGATTCTTCAGGTACTGGAAGCTGCGCGCACAGGTTGGGCAGGGGTGGAGCCTGCGAGGAGGGGCAGAAGGATGGGCTTCATGTACATGGACCCTAAGGTGTACTTTAGAGTTAAAGGTGCTGCTGCAGATAGTGCAAGTGTGTTTAGGAATGAGGTTTAGTGTGCGGCTTGAGAGGCATTTTTTCAGTTTTGCAAGATACTGTTTCTGGTGGACCCACTTGACATGCTTCTCCAAGAAGTCCAAGTCAGTAAAGGAGACAGTGCAGTGAGGACATGGAAAGAACTTGGATGATGACTCTAAGTAGGAGAGAAATACACACACAGAGAGTAGAGAAGATTTAAAAAAGGAAGCAGTTATGATTTTACCCTTCCCTGTTGTATTGTCAAATTAGAATATACTGACTGACAATTGTGAGAAACAAAGTAAAGCTATTGTAGATGCTAGACATGAACTTTTTTAAGGCTGAGATTTTTCTATTCTCTTACTATCTATCTTACTACTATTCTTAACATATCATCAAACACTGACATGTATTTAAGTAAGAAGGTGAATACAAATGCAAAATAGCAAATTGTTCAAACATGCCTTTCTTAAGATAAAACATACTAGATTAACCCTTGATTGTTTATCAAATAAACATTTTTGACACTTCCAGTCATGACAAAGTAATTAAAAACTGATGAAAATGCAAAACAATATGCTTTGTATAAATGTTTTTAAGTTGAAATTGGCTACATATGCCAAAGTATTAGTGCAACCAAAAAAGAACATGTAAAAAAAAAAAAAAAAAAAAAAAAAAAAGGAAAACATATTATTGTGTATTTTTTCAGAAACTGGCTCCTACCTGTGCAGACCTCCTCTCCCTCCCCATAATCTTCCTGGGTTTCTGCCTCCTCTTCACTGTCTCTATCCTCTTTGATCCACGACTCTGACTCCTCCTTGACAGCAGTTTGAGTGAATTCATATTCTGGCTGATGGCCAGAGTCACACTCATCCTTTATGTGCACCCGTTGATGGTGAACATCTGACCTGGATGTCACATTGTCAGGCTTAGTGTCTGGACAGCTTGATGCGTCTTCATTATACTCCCCGCAGATCTCCTTTGCATGTGGCTCCTCCTTGATATGGATGCTAAGACCATCTCCGTTAGTGTAAACTTCACGGGAGCCTTCCTCAGCCTCACCATCCAGCTCCAATTCATCTTCAGTTTTAACTGCACCCACATCGTGTTGCCTCTCCCCTCTCTTTGCTTCGTTTAGCAAAGACTTCTTCTTGGCAGATTTCATCTTCATCTCGTCACCATTAGGATTTCGTCTCTTTAGTTTGCTCTGGTTTAGAGTAACAAATTAATGAGGTGAATATCTTAGAAGGCAAAGACATCTATATTCAAGGCAGTTTAAGCAACACTAAAACAGACACAAGCCATAATCGCTATGGAGACATTTCGTTAATCTTTATCTAACGTTAGCATCATAGCTAAGCCATTCTAACGGCGACATTAGCCTAGCAGCAGTACTAGCAACACTGTGGATCATTTAATGCAGTTACTTTGCAGCTAGGCAGCTGTCAGCGTCCTTCATTTTTTGTCTGCTTTAAAGAAAAGACCTACCGTTTTTTAAAGACACGATTCAGCCAGAGCTGCGTTTACATATTTAAGCCATCGTCTACTAACTGGCTGCATTCGTGTGTAGTGATAATAACACAGGAAGAACACCGCACTTCCTCAGGTTCTGGCCAACCAGCTCACATCAGTCATGTTCAGGTTGCAGCCCACAGTGCAATTAAAGTGACAGGGGCAAAAAGCTTTAGTCAAACCCACGTTACACTGTCAGGCAATCATTCATATTTTAATTCATATCAACATTTAAACGTATAACCCCCAAGATTCTTAGGCCCGAGATGATTAATATGTCTTGTTTTGTTTGTGCCACAGTCCAAAATGCATTGACTAATACTTTTGTATATAATACTTATATAAAATATTTTTCCTCATGTTATTGGGAATAGCGGAATTGAGAGCCGTTTTATTTTTATTTGATTTTAAATTATATGGAAGTGGCTGAGAGCTTTCCATAAGCTAGGGTTCCAGTTTCTCTAATGTGAGGATTTGCTGCTTTTCCTTTTTTATTATTTTAATAATTGTAATTTATTTCTAGTAATTTTGAGGTTTTGGACTGTTGGTTGGACAAAACAAGCAGTGCAAAGGTGTCACTTTGACATTTACTTATCTATTATTATTTTCATATTGGTTTTATTTCAGTATATTTTTATCATGTTTATCTATCATATACATCACTGTAATTACACACAAATACACTCTGCAAATACATTTGAGATTGTTCTAAAAATGGTAGTGATATTGTATTTAAAAACATTTTTTAATTATCCAATTATCACAAATGAAATGTTAACATTGTGGCAGCATCTTTTGTGTTAACATCCCAGTTGAAAACATCTTGGTAGGTCCCAAAATGATCTTTTCTCCTGTACAAAACACACACACACATACACACAATCTTGTTCCACAGACTTTATTTCATCCGACTCGGGACAGAGAATCTTAACACGATCTTCTGTACAACACTGTTCCCTTCTTTGAAAACAAACAAACAAACAAACAAAAAACAAACAAACACAATAAATGTTATGTACAAAAATAAAGTATATTAAAAAAAAAAAAAACATACACAAAGATACAAGACAAACAAAACAGTATTAATGCTTATTTGTGGAGGGCTGCTATAAATAGTGACAATATTCCATTGAGCTTTAGTTTGCTTAACTATGCTGAGTATTCAGTTCAAAACAAAACCTCCCATGATTTTTTTTCATTTGATAAGAAGCCAGTAGCACCACTCTGAGGTCATCCATGACACTATGTGCCATCGGAGGCTGGACGACATCCACTCTTAGTGTTTCACATGAATAATGGGGCTCATTGCCTCCATGCAGTGCAAAAAGGAAAACAAAGAGAAAACAAAAATACTAATGTCAACACCAGCCAGTGAACAAGTCATTCTGTCTCATTATTCCGTCTCATTGCAAATAAAAATGCTGTCAAGTCTTTTCAAAATCTCTCACCAGGAGAACTTTCTAACAACTCTTTCCATTACCATTGTAACATTTTTCATATTGTATTTTTTTTTTTTTTTTTTTTTAACCACATCCAAAGTTTTTGATCAAATTGTAGCAATGATTGGCCAATGCAATCATCTAAGCAAGCAAGTTGCCTGAAGAAGAAAAAAAAAAAAACAGTCCAGTAAAACTAGCAAAAGACCTACATACATTTCATGTCAAAAAGTAATCAAATGTTTGAAAATGACATATCATTTCTTCATTTTCATGGACGAGTTTGGTTGTTATTAAATTAATATAGTGTCAGGAACTCAAGACTAATATTGAAAACATTATCCTTCATATTTTTTTTTACAAAAACAATTTGTGAAACAAAATGTAAAATATGTCATTGTTATTATGTCCTTCAGGAGCTACACCACACATTTTCATTAACACATGTAACAAGTGTAAGCCAGTTGACTCACAGACAAGGCAAGAAGTGAAGGCAGATGAGCAGAAAAACAAATAACAATGTAACATAGCAGGTGAATGAATATGCAAAAACATACCCAGGAGTCTGTTTAACATAAACATAATAGCTTACAAGCCTGCCATGTTTTGAGTTACAATTATAAATCACTCATATCGACTATGATATAAAAAACATCTTGCAAGCAACTTTGACTTTTTTCATCCTGCACTGAGCTGACAATCAAAATCTTGCACATTATGCTGAACCAATTTAAACAGTCTATTGTTCTCAATGGCAATTTTGATTGTCACTTTTTGGGGGTATAAAGCACATGTTGGTTCCAAAGTGAGCGGATGTCTTTCTTAACACCTCTGTTGGTCAATGAGAAGACTTTGAACAGTCCAGCTTCAGTCTTTGTATGGGACTGACTGTCGAGTGTGCTCATACCTCTTTAGTGATCACAGATAGGATGCAACACTGTTTTCTTGATACATAAAGCAGTTGTAGTGCATTCTAGAGACAGCTGGCTTGGTCATGTGAAGCACTGAAATACAGTATAGCAATACATAATACAATAAAAGACACTTAATAATTCATTATACAGTGTATGTACAACTCTGTTCAAAATGCTCTTGTTAACTGACTCTGACATAACTCTTTCTTTTGGACTTTGTCTTTGCCTTGCAGCTATGTTTCTTTCAAAAAATTAATTTATTATATATCAAACAATTTACAGACTTAACCCATTTCTTTTATCCCTGTCTTATTTCATTTATATCTTTTGTTTGTTTCCCTACATAGCCATAGTGGTCAGGTGCTGATGCCCTAGCAGCCCCTTGCGCCCTGCTCCCGCCCCTGGGTGCCCCCCTCCACTGCCATGGCCACAGTATTCTTGCAAGTTCTGACGCAAAGTAACCAGTGCAGAGCCCAGACAGGCACGATTTGGAGCCAAGACACCCCCAGGGAGCTGGAAGAGAACAGTGGCCACCCCAGCCATGCCATCATCTGTGGGCTCCAGGGTGATGGGCCCCACCTTAAAGGTGGAATAGGAAAAACCCATGAGCTGAGAGAGGAACGGGTCAGAGCGGCAAAAATGCTGGTAGCCGCTGTATGTGGATGGATGGTGATGATGTGAGGCTGGGGTGCCAGCAGTGGTGCTGGCATAGTGGTGGGTGTTCAGGTAGTGTAGCGGCAGGTGCTGGCCACTATTGCCCCCTCCACCCAGGGTGAGGTGATGGTGGTGGTGGGCTGTGGGACCAGAACCCGGGTCATGTTTGTAGGAGACAGCTCCTGCCCTGCCCCTCTGGCCCACCACCACTCCTCCTAACTTGCTTGTGCGGGCATGAGCAAGCGATACAGTGCTGCCCCCCACCCCTCCACCAGCTGAGGGCAGGTAGATGAGCTGAGGCTCCTCTGGCTCAAGGTATATAGTGAGTTTAGCAAAGGGTCTTGACGCCATCTTGGTCATCTCCTGAATGTGGCGCCGCTGCTCCCGACGAAAGTCCAGGAACTGCTTAACCTTCCACAAGAGGACACAGACAGATAGGAAGAGGAAAAAGCAGGAGAAGAAAACAGAGAAGAAGACAAAAAGATCGATGTGGGCTTGGTCCTGTCGCAGAAACAGCAGACCTTGGGACTCTCCCTGTCTCTCGTCAGTTCCCACACCTCTCAGAGCGATGTAGAAACGGCTGGATTTCAAGGAATGCACCTCATGGGGGAAAGTGATGACCACACGATCTCGAACAGCATGGACAATCAGCACTGTCTGTGGTTTCCACACAGTGATGTAGGTGATGAGTCCTTCAGCCCGCTCCTCCCTAATTTCTCTATCGGCTCCTGGAGGTTTTGCTTGCAGCTGCAGTGGGTTGTGGGAGAGCACGGGGCCCCCAAGACTGGATGAAGCATTTGCAAACACCTTAATAGGGGACGGAGGTGAATCCTTATCTACCCCAGTTGCTGTCCCCCGGGTTACCGATTCCTCCTCAATCTTAATGGTGTGAATCCCCGAGTACCGATCCACATCCACAATGAAGGTGTCATGAGAGTTGGACACATACACCTCCACCTCACCAAAGGTAACATCAATGGTGACCCGAATGTCAACATTGGTGAACTTTGGCTGGGCTGCAAAGAACACTGTGCGCCCCTTGGGCAGGTTGCGAATGGTGGGATGATGGAAGCAGTTGGTCTGGGATGTCGGGTCAAAGCAACACTCAGTATCCACGTTGAACTGACGGTAGCACTGACGCCCATTCACCGGTGTGCCATTGAAGGAGTCTTTGCACTTGGCACACTAAATGGAAGAGCAAAAGAAATACAATTTGAGCAAAACCCTGTAATGAATAGAACAAGGTCACCTGTTTTTTTCCCTGTTTTAATTACTGATTTAATCAACGCAGATAAATAAAAAATGTAAAAATATTGTGACATTCTTCTGCCATATAAAAAATCATTTATAGCGTGTGCATACCTGTTGCCTGTAGCAGTCTTTCCGGTCACTCTGAGGGCTGCTCAGACAGGACGAGGTCTCTGTGTTGTTTTGGCAGGGGCAACCTGTGCCATCATGTTCATTACATGTGTCTGCATGGCCATTGCACTGACACCTGCAATGAAGAGGAGAAAGTTCAAACACATGAGTAGAAATCCAAACAGTAAAGAGGAGAACATCCAAATACTAAAAGAGGGAGAGAATCTGAACATTGAAAAGGAGAAATTGTTACTTGACAAAAGACACTCTTTTGAAGTTACTTGCCAACTACTTTATGGACGACGGCCATGTTGACTCTTCGGTCAACCCCAAAAACTCGAACACCACAAAACTTCCTGTTTCTGCCTCTCAACACATTATGACATGTACACTCTTATGCAGGCAGCTATTTTTGCAACTGAATAAAATGCAAACAGTAGTTGTATCTATAATTAATATCTGGAACTGAACAAAAATCTAAGCACTTGAAACACTTGAAGAGGAGAATCTCTAAACAGTAAAGAGGAGAAAGTGTGTTGCTTCTGAAAATATTAAGCATTGATTTTTTTTTTGTCCTTCTTATTTATCTAATTTATAGCCATGAGGAGATTTCCATCTCATTACTAGCATAATTTCTGCTGTAAGACGAGACAGAAAAAACTGCCTTTGATGGCACGGTAAATTAAAAGAAGAATCGATATTT